CGCATGTGGCTCGCGAGCCGCGGTTTGCCGAGCCGCAGTTTGACGACCACTGACCTAGAGGGAAAAAAGGGGGGAGAGGGCTTTACATTAACCAACCAGCATCTCTGTGAAAGAGCTAAAAAAAAAAAATCAGATTGCATCACTCCTATTCTCCAAAACCCTGGGCTCAACAACAACAAAAAAAGAGATATCAACTATCTTTTTAGTTTCTAGTTAACAGCAATTTTCTGTTCTGTTTAAACAGCTAATTTTTATAGGTCATATCTCTAACTGTTCATGATTACTTAGTCAATCAAAATGGCATACACATTCCACTCATAAAATCAGTCTCTGATGATAATTCTAAGTACAGCAAGATAAATCACACATTTAGGGCAACTAAAAATGTCACTGATTAAAAAAAAATTGCGAGCAGCATTTAGAGTAGAGAAGGGATGGGGGGTAAGCGAACAACTCTTATAGGCAGATGTCTATGAATCAGCAGGTACCTAATTATTTTCACAAAAGGTGTGACAGAAATAACAATCAAAAGATGACCTATCACTTTTATGTATAAAATAAGAGAGAATGCAAATATTTATCTGAAAAACCAATGTCCATCCAGATAACTAGAATATCAAGTATATTTTGGTCTGGTCACTTAATAAAATAATGATTCTGTGCCTTCCAAGCATGTCCTACTAACCTGATGACAGAATCCCCATGTCCAGTAGGAGCTGCCAGACCCCTATGGCCGTGGATCTGCACTGGACGAAAGGACAGTGTTCCAGAAGCCAGTCAACCAGTTCTGACCCAACACAGCTTCGCCTGCATAAAACAAAGCCATTCAGATGAGACATCGTGGCCACTCCTTTGCCAAAAAATTGGTATTTAACAGCATCCCTCCCATGTGCTTGCTTTTTAAAACAAGTGACTCAATAATACATGACATGTACCTCTGATTCATTCCTCTTTCGGATTTTAGCTCAAATATCACTTCCTTAGAGGGACTTGGAATCAAATTCTCTTATTCCTTTTCTTCAAGTCACCTTACATTTAATAATGATACATCTTTCTGAATGAATAATATCTGCTTTCCTCACTTAAGAATAAATTTCAGGAGACCAAGGATTAAGCATAACTCACTATTAAACCCCAACAACTAGGACAGTCCAGGTACACAGTAATTTCTCAAAATACGTAAGTTTGCATAAATGAATTCAGCAGTCCTTTATAGAAAGATAATGCTTCTGCCTCGGCAAGACAAGTACCTCAAGTTGGTGGTGATAGATTTTGGTTCCACCATTTATAGATTTTTATCTAGTCTCTTTTTTCCCCCAAATGCAATCTTTAATACAAGAAACAGAATATCAAACTATCTTTACTGTTTACAGTAAAGGACAACAAAGAATGTACAAATTGTGAACAAACAGCAGAGCCAGCAGACACCACATCCACACCCCAACAGCAAAACACAAAGGAAAGGCAAGACTCTGGGCAAGCAAGAGATGATGGTCCAGGCCGCACTGTCCAGGTACCAGAAGAAGGCAGAGCAGGGCCCTCAGGCAGCAGGGGTTCCATACAGAAGGGCAGGAGGAGAACTGAACGTTTAGTAGGTACAGGCTCCAAAATGTTTCACAGAAATGAAACCACAGCCAATGCCAGGAAACAGCAGAGCACAGTCCGTGAGAACAACAAGAAGTCTTCTTTGCATGGGGCCCATTTGTAACCACACTTTGAAGTCGCTCTTTGACACAAAAACATCAGCAATACTTCATCGTACTAGTAGGTACAGGCTCCAAAATGTTTCACAGAAATGAAAACACAGCCAATGCCAGGAAACAGCAGAGCACAGTCCGCGAGAACAATAAGAAGTCATCTTTGCACGGGGCCCATTTGTAACCACACTTTGAAGTTGCTCTTTGACACAAAAACATCAGCAATACTTCGTCGTACTTTTTTTATAGAGAGACCATAATTATTCATCAGAAGCAAATACTGGAAGAGATCTGAGGCCACAATACTACTGCCAAGTGAGAAATATGGGAATTGATTTCCTTTGTATTAAAAGGGAACACCTGAAACTAATACAAAATAATATTGAATATAAACTGTAATTGAAAAAAATTTAAAAGAAGGGGAAAAGCCAATATCTGCTGCACCCTGCTTTGGCCATGCACGATCAGGGGCCCTGGGCCTGGCCCTACCCCAGGGGACACCGGAGGAACAGAGCGCCCAGGCCTGTGCTACTGAGGGACTCAGTTATTTTTCTTTTCACCTCTTAAAAAGCATTCCAGTATTCCCCCTTCAACTTTACCATATTCTCACCAAACTTAAACTTGCAATATTTAGCATTGAAAGAACCCACAGGACAGTAAGTGGACCTACGAGAAACAGTTAAGTGGAAGTTTGTCTCCCCACAATGACCCAAAACGTGCCCACAGAAGCACCCCCACTTTGGTGATGTGAGCTCTCTACAGTGGAATAAGCAGGGGGGTAAGATCCCCGTCTAAACTAAAAAGCTTCGGGGAAATGTTGTAAGAGGGGGAAAGACAAAAATGAGAGCAAAAACAAACCCCCGAAACCTTGCAACTCATTTTCCTAAGCAGACAGGACACTGGCTGGCCCGGTTCAGGTAAGGATTCGCCCCTGCAGCCAGTTTGAGTGGCACCGCAGTATGGCAGAGAGGAAAGGAATGTTTGTGGATGTCCTCGGTTCCTGCAGACTCCTTGGTGATCGGCATGGTCACGTGTTCACTAGTCAACAGCAAATGCTAGGTCGGTGACAAAGTTGGCTGGCCCCTCTACAGACCACATCCCAAGAGTCAGCCAGTTGCTGTGAGCCTCCTGTCGGCAGCTGGAACACATCCATGGTGTCTTCATCCTCCATCTCCAACGGGGCCAGGGTGTCTGCTTCATTAATTGGCTGCCCATCAAACCGGAACCTAATCTGTCTCATTGACCAGCCCTGCAGCTCACAGTAGGCCTTCATCAGCTTGCTCAGTGGGGTGTGTCTCTTAATCTTGAACTGGACCACTGAGCCATCCTGCCCCGCCACTTTCAGATTGATGTGGTCATTCTGTCTTCACTCCCTCCTTGGGCTTCTCCTCGGATATGGCTGCTCGCGGTTGTGGGGCAGTGGGGCGGCAGGGAATTAGGCACGCTCTAGAGACTCACCGCTCTCCCACCACAACTACTCTCTGGGACAAGCTTTGCCCCCCAAATCCTGGCTCATGGGTTGGCTGGTCCGAGGTCACGTCGAACCCTGGGCATCGAGTGTGCGCCCAGTTGGGTTGAGGTTCTCGGCTCTGACCAGCCCTGCAGCTCACAGTAGGCCTTCATCAGCTTGCTCAGTGGGGTGTGTCTCTTAATCTTGAACTGGACCACTGAGCCATCCTGCCCGGCCACTTTCAGATTGATGTGGTCATTCTGTTTTCACTCCCTCCTTGGGTTTCTCCTCGGATATGGCTGCGCACGGTTGTGCCCTGACCTGGAATTGAACCAGCGACCTTCTGGTGCATGGGATGATGCCCAACCAGCTGAGCCCCACCGGCCAGGGCTTATCTAGTCTCTTTAATAAGAATAAAATAATTCCAAGAGAATTAGGCAAAGTTGGAACACAGTGGGTAATAGAGAATTTTGTTTGCTACTTTTCAGAGATTAAATCCCAGAATTTGTTTCAAAGGGCAATCCATTTGACTGTGAATCTTTTTAATATAATCTAAGCAATCTAGCTCAGGAACCTAGATCATAACACCCACAAATGCAGATGTGTGTGAAGGATTCCACTAACCACACACACACACAATATTCTCTGTAATCTGTCCTAAAATATACAACTATAATCAAAGGCTGTCCAATCTTGGCATTACAAGAAGTATCTCAATCCTTCTTTTCCACCTTTATGAGCCTGTGATGAAAAACCCAAAGAAGAAAGCTTGCTGAAATGTGGATTTTCATTTGCAGAAATTTCATTGAATCCCACTCTCCCTTATGAGAAACTGTCACCAAAATGTGTAATCTGTCCTAAAATATACAACTATAATCAAAGGCTGTCCAATCTTGGCATTACAAGAAGTATCTCAATCCTTCTTTTCCACCTTTATGAGCCTGTGATGAAAAACCCAAAGAAGAAAGCTTGCTGAAATGTGGATTTTCATTTGCAGAAATTTCATTGAATCCCACTCTCCCTTATGAGAAACTGTCATCAAAATTTTTTTTAAATGATGTATCATGTAAATGGCTATGTTCATTCTGTATTTGGCATTTAAGGACCAAAAGATGTAAACTTTATGTGTATTCCTAAAACAGGAAAATATTGCCTATCTCCTGTGATTGGCATAGGCACAAATAGCTAGAAATCACACAGTAACCAACAATACAAAGATATGCCACAAGGTGCTACAGTTTCCAGAGTGAAGAAAAAAATAAGCTTTTTCTGTGGAGAGATCAGATCAAACATCCTAGCTTTTGATAATGCATCACAGTTTTTGGTACAGTGCTACAGTTTGTAAGATGCTCTAAGGCAATTAAGGCAATACCAGACGTGTTTAATCGCAGGTTAGCATCAAGGCAATTAAACAGATTAACAGTCAAATAAATGGATGTGTTTTTTTAAACAAAATGAGAAAACAGATCACAACAAAACAGTTAATTAGACAATATTAACTTCTAATTCGATAGGACACCCGTCATGTGAAAGGCTCAAAGTGTTAATTAATTCCTCAACACCTCTGTCAATTAGCCAGCATCTTCTAACTAATTGCTTGAAGCACAGTTATCACTCGGATTAAACACTGTATTATTTGTAATCCTTATTCTCAGAACAGTCCAGCTCCTCTGCCTACTGTGTGGAACGTGAAAGGACACAATGGAACATTTACTGAATAAATCAAACTGTTAAATTGCAAAGGGTGGCTGGATGGATGGGCGCGCATGTTTGTTCACAGGTGATGATGGCGGAGAAATTTCTCAGACGCGGGCTCCTCAAAACCGTGGTTAGGCATTACCTGAGAGATCTGGCTAACCTGCAGATTCTTTTTTTTTCTTTTTTTTAAAATATATTTTATTGATTTTTGTACAGAGAGGAAGGGAGAGGGATAGAGAGTTAGAAACATCGATGAGAGAGAAACATCGATCAGCTGCCTCCTGCACACTCCCCACTGGGGACGTGCCCACAACCAAGGTACATGCCCTTGACCGGAATCGAACCCGGGACCCTTCAGTCTGTAGGCTGATGCTCTTTCCACTGAGCCAAACCAGTTAGGCTAACCTGCAGATTCTGAGGCAGGACGGCTGGGCGGGGCCTGCGAGTCCTCGATTCTAACTGGCTCCCTGGTGGCCACAAAGCCCAACCCCCAGCTCTACCTTGTCATTGGGAAGAGCTCCCTCTGTTTGGGGGACAGGGCCGAGTCAATATGCGAAAACATAGCACTGCCCTGGCAGCGGTTAGCAAGGAGGTGAGCTGCCTCTGCCTTTAACGCATCCTCCCCTGACTTCTGACCAGGCCCGCAACAATCCATTTAAAATGCCCAAATCCACAGGATTTAAGGAGAGCAGTGAGAAGGAGAACGGAGACGGTTGGAAGGGGACAATCCATTTAAAATGCCCAAATCCACAGGATTTAAGTGAGAAGGGGAACGGAGACGGTTGGAAGGGAGCAATCTGACTACGGACAGCAGCTCTTATTCCCGGGGTATTTTCGGTGTTGTCCTGAATCCAGAAACTGTTCTGAGGACATGCAGACCTAACCACAGTCGCATGTGAGGTAGGAACGTTGTGATACGGAGGCGACTAGGTACAGGGCCAATGGGATTGCTGTAACAAAGCATTCTTTTAACAATCTCTGGAGCTGAGCGCTTGCTATCTCTTAGCTTCCTTCTGTCTCTGGTTACATTTTTAGCAATTATTTCATGATAGTGCAGACTCAACTTTAATCTCGAATATACCAGTATATGGGGCGATGCTATTCAGAGACCAGCTCTGAAAGTAATTCTCATGTGGTGCATAGGGAACACTTTCCCTTAATTCACTACCAGACATACGAAAATGATCCGTTCTGGGCCACCATATTAGCATTTTGTCTTTATACCAAGAACATGCATTAGTCCTTAGATTTTAAAAGAAGGGAGGTTCTGGCCTGACCACTGGGAATCTGAAATAGCAAAAACACATGCTCTTTCCCCATTCTATTCCCACCAGTATGTTCTAACTTGGATGGATGGTTCTTTCCATGAACCCAACTAATGTATATCTCTGCATTCTTTTTTCAGTCTATATCCATAGAGGTCACATAAAGAAACAACAGAGCAATGACAGACGTTACACATAGCCTTATGTGTAGCAAAAATGAGTCCCATGAACCCTGCTGGAGAGCTCAGTTGGTTAGAGCATCATCCCGATACCGCAAGGTTGTGCGTTCGCTCTCCAGGCTTGGCTCATATAAGAATCAACCAATGAATGCATAAATAAGTGGAACAGCAAATCTCTCTCTCTCTCTCTAGTCAATAAAAGAATTTTTTAAATGAATCCTATTAGGTCACTCACAACTAAACCCAAAGACTTTGTACAGTTCTTAAAAAAAAAAAATCAACGTGTCTAAGTTTAGTTAAAAAAATGACCTTTATTCTGGGAATTTTTCCTACTTTTTTTTTGCTGTCATTTATTCTGAGTATTTTTCCTATTTTTTATGGTATTATGATTTCATTTCTATAAGAAAGAATAATGAAAATAAATGATAGGGTTTTTTTCCTTTTGAGGTTTTCTTCTGGTATTGTTTGGTGTGGTTTAATATCTTTACTTAACATAAAAACAATAATAATATGGAAAACTAACAAAAAAAACTTTTGTTTTTCCTTTAACCTCCAGAAAATGAAAATATGGGCTCCAAACTTTCTAAGTGACCACTCTCTTGGTCCAGCTGTACTTTAAAGCAGGCCTCTAACCCACCCATTGACTCTAGCGCCTCTGCCCTATCCACTAGCCAAGGCGGAGAAATGCCATCCCTACACCAACCTGCCCCTCCCGCTCTTCACAGCACCCAAGGGGATTCTCCCTCCCACCTGGCGAGCTGAGCAACGGTTCTCTCAGCCCATGGTCCTGAGAGTCCTCTCAGAGCCTCGATAAGGTCCCTGAAGGGGGACCTATATTTATTGACATCACAGTCGGACACACCCAATTAAATTATTCTAAACTATCCCAGCTCAGAGGAAGCAGAGGCTCTCTCAGAAACCCATCCACACCCGGGGATGCCAGACCCTAACTTCAGAACCAGGAGCCCAACTGTCAACAAACACTTAGCTAAGTTTAAAGAAGAGACAAGTCATCACCAGTGACCCAAAAGGACACTTCAACAAACTGACCTACAGCCTGTTCCTACAGCCTGTCTCTCTGTGATCATGCTTAAGATTTTAACACTTTTTTTTCATAAGGAGAGTTTCTGACAAGATGTTAGAAAACTATGTTACCTGTAAAATCCCTTGAGGTTCGCTCTGTCCTTGATCAGATCAGCTGCCTGGACGATAATGATATTCCTCAGTGCTCTTCCTGCACAAGAAGAATTCTCCCCATAAATCTAAGTGGAAAAAACAAACATTCCCTATAAATGTAGAACAATCATGCCATAATCTGTGAGCATACTATATATATATAAAAAATGATGACCAAATCCATAAGCTTAAGACACTTATGCAGCTACAAACACAGCTACCTATTTTATTTTACCTTTGCTATTGGTTTATGCCAGTGGTCGGCAAACTGCGGCTCAGCAAACTGCAGCTCGCGAGCCACATGCGGCTCTTTGGCCCCTTAAGTGTGGCTCTTCCACAAAATACCGACTTCTGTGCATGGGCCACAAAGTTTCAATCGTACTATACATGCGCGCCCGCACGTGGTATTTTGTGGAAGAGTCACACTCAAGGGGCCAAAGAGCCGCATGTGGCTCGCAAGCCATGGTTTGCCGACCATGGGTTTATGCTATAAAACTCTAATAGCTATTTTCCATATGCTAAATGGCTTTAACTATAATTACAAGTAATATATTTTACACAAGTTTTTAGTGTAAAATACCCACTGTTTTTAAAAACATAGTGTTTCTATCAATAGGGCAAATCAAAGAATATTTTTATTATGTATTAACTCTGCCATATTGATAACGCATCCATGTAAAGGACTTAGAAGATAGGAAACTGATTTTTCCCTGTCTCGTGGACATCTTGTATCACAACATTTTGATAGCAGGCTGTTGTCTGCTCTGCGTTTAAGGGTCGCTCCACTGCAGAGTTCATAGTTAATTCTAAGAAGTATGGTTTCATCACTTTGCCATTCCAGTGAGCAGATAAAAATTTTTTCAATCTTCTAATTTGCGCATATGAGTCCCTGCTTCTTAAAGGATGAAGGAGGGCATTCCTTAGATCCAGAGAGGCTTATGTCCTTTAGTACACCTCCTTTCCCCATAGCTGGCCCCTTCCTCTGAGTGCATTGTGCCCCACTAACAAAGGAGCCGTGTGACAATGAACTCTCTTCATAAGTAAAGGCTCATGAGAATTCGTATATACAGGGGGTAGGTATTCATATCTGTTCCCTTGTTTCTTGGTGAACTCTTTCTGCACCTACAAAATGTTGCCTCTATAAAATATAAATCTTCGCTCAAAGCAAACAAATGGATAATATGTTGATTATAACCTAACAGGGAATGATTCAACCCCATCCTTATACTTTTTAATTTTCCTGTTACCACCTCCTAAACACAACCCTATGAGAAAGTGAGGACAGAACATGACTTATTTTTAACACATTAAAACTTAAGAAGAACGTGAACACGTCAGATGACAGAAACTATTACCCTAAGGGAGGTACAAGTCAGCTGACACTTGACTGGTCCTGACGTGGTACCATATGCAGTCCCTCAGTCATTCAGGAAAACGTTTAATGATGCTGGGGATATGATCATGGAAAAAGGCCAAAAAGGTCTCTGTCCTCACAAAGCTCCCAGGCTCCTGTTGTTTTAAAAACGCAACTCTCTGTCGACTGATTCTTTAACACAACGTGATAAAGGCGTCCTCATCTTGTCTCACCAATTAGCATACGGAGATATTCTACTATTAGATAAATGTAAGTATAAATAATCCCCTTGCCCGTTTCCAGTGTTAAATACCCACTATTTTTTTAAAATACAGTGTTTCTATACAGAAAAGTGAAAACCTTGTCTCACCAATTAGCATACGGAGATATTCTACTATTAGATAAATGTAAGTATAAATAATCCCCTTGCCCGTTTCCAGTGTTAAATACCCACTATTTTTTTTTAAAATACAGTGTTTCTATACAGAAAAGTGAAAACATATTATGTATTAAACTCTGCCATATTGGTAATGCATTCATGCAAAGGACGTGGAAGATGGGGAAATCTTTTTTCCTGTCTCGTGAACATCTTGAATTCTGACCCAGTTATCAGGACATCTCATCCGACTCTGGCTGTATCACCCCGGTGAAGGAGACGGCATGATCAGGAGCACAGAGGGCAGCTGTAACTAGAGAATTCTACATCAGGGTCTCAGAATCACTGTTTCAGAAAATACAGCAAGAGAGACAAGAATCGTACCTGGGAAGAAGTGTGCTCAAGGTATGGATTGGAAATTCTTCTCTGGAGAGTCTATTTTAAAAGAAAAAGGGGAAAAATTAGGACCAAGTAGAAAGAAATCATTGCACCATCAGGGCACACGATATGCAACAGTGGGAGGCCCAGGAGTTGTCCCTGACAACAGATGAGCTTAAACCTCCAGTCACAGAACATTAATGTCCTTATTCTTACTCTGTAAATACCTGGTTAACATTCACTCTAATGGGCCAGGACATATTATTCAAACGGCTCCCAATCTACAGAGCACAAGTTTAAAAAGTGCAACAGAAAGACTGGGGTGTTTTTGTACTTGTCACTTGGTTCTTCATGTGATTTTGATTCCATTTCTCCTTTCCTTCTCCTGTCCACGTTCACCAGTCTAACTTAGCTTTCATCCCCACCCACAGGAACCGCTGCTGCAGCTGCACGATGGATTTCCCTGCCCTCTAGTCACACCCTCTCAGGCCACCCTGCAAACCTCCCCTACACAAATGTCTCTAAACCGCCCCCTCAACTGACAGTGGGGCTCTTACTGCTTATGTGCATCAACCCACACCCCCCGAGCCTGCCCTTCTGGGTCCACCACAGTCTGCCGCCAACCGGCAACTAGTAGTCTCTTTCCACCTCACTACCTGGGTTCTTTTCTTGTTTGTTTGTTAATCCAGTCATTTTTAGAGAGAGTGGAAGGTAGGGAGGGAGACAGAGAGAGAGAGAAACATTGATGTGAGAGAGACACAGCGATTTGGTTGCCTTCTGCATGCGCCCTGATCAGGGCCGGGGATCGAGCCTGTAACCCAGGTACATGCCTTGGGCCGGAATCGAACCTGGGACCTTTTAGTTCACGGGCCGACGCTCTATCCACTGAGCCAAACCGGCGAGGGCACTTCCTGGGTTCTTTATTCTTCAAGAGGTACTCATAGAAGAACCTGTCACTCCAATACCTCTGCGCATGCCATTCTCCACAACAGAAAGCCCTCAATCTCTTGACACTTTCCTGAATCCCACCAGACTCCCAAGTCCAGGTTTTGTGCAGTCGCCTTCTAGGCGAAGCTCCTCCCACCCACCCAGTCCACCAGGGTTTGTGGTGTTTGGAGCTCTTTGTTTTTTGATTGTTCACATGCCAGCTCCTGGGTCCGTACTGTGGGCTGTCTCTCTGTGAGTGCATTTGTCCCAACTAATCCATACGCTCCTGGGGAGAGGGCTGGCCGTTCCTACAGCTTCGCTTTCACGGCACCCAGCCCAGCAATGTTCATTTTTCTATGCAGTTATTTGTAGATATCCGCATCTCTACATCCACTCGGTAATGCAGGAGCTAATTTTTCCCACCTAACAATCCAGTGGGCAGCACCATCACCCACGTGTGCTTAAGCACAATGGGAAATTACCATTTCCCAATTCAGGAAAAAGAACAGAGGAACTAACATTTACTGAGCTTTCAACCTATGTTTTAAAAGCTCCTTTCTCCTCTATTCCTAGGCTTGCTGTCTTTTCAGATCCCATGGTTTTTAGTCTGCCGCCTCCACTTCTTAGAATTTGCTAAATTTACAAAACATCTCCTGCCAATCATCGCTTTCCGGCATCTGAAGCTTCTACCAAAATGTAATGTAAGACAGAATTCCCCTTCCGCCTCTTCCCGCTCCACACGCCTCCCACACTACTCATCTTCTAATTAAACTAAAATAGATATATAGACGCTTTACCCCAAAATGCCAATTGGTACACCCTGCTAAAAACTTGCAATGGCTTCAAAGAAAATGACATTTATAGGGTAGAGAGGCCATTTTGAATCCCCATTCACCTCCCCCTCCTGCTCTAGTCTCACCCACTCCCAACTGTCTCTTCCCGGGGCTTCTGTCATCCGAGCCTTGGTAATGTATTCACTTATTGAAATACTGAACAATTTAAAATTTGCATATGCACCAGATTTATAATTTGACGATGAATCATCATGATAAGTGATTTCCCTCCTCAACAGAGCGACTTTTAAAAATCAATATAGCAGGCCAGACCTGACAATCTTTATTACTCATCTATTTGCCTGGATCAGCTCAGAAAAGCAAATACTTCCTCTGATCTAGTTAAAAAGAAAGCATTTAGGGAGAAACAAGTTCTAAAGAGCCACGCAGGGGCACGTTCACAAAAGAAAGCAGCCGGCTTCCTTTCTCTCTGCTGCCAACCTAGACCTGCCTGTCTCGGCCCTAGCCTTACACTCCCAGTCCCCCTCACAGCAGTGTCCCCCCTGGATGGCTGGTCTGAAAGGATTGGTAAGGTGAGTAAATAAAGCAATGGGATTCTTCCCTGCTGACTAGATAACAGCGTTAGATAAGCTGCTGGTCCACGGGGAACCCACAAGAGCAACACAAGAACTGCCTTTTACAGGACACAATACCTAGACCTGCTGTCAGACACTCCCGCCAAGCCCTCTCTTAACGGGGCCCTGGGGAGCTTGGTTTTATCAATGCCCCTGGTCAGCAGCTCTCAAACTCCGCTGAGCTGGGGGAGCCGCAGAGCTCTCTGCAGATCTCCGCAAAGTCCTGATTTCTTACATTTAAAATAACTACATCACTACGCTCTCTTTTTTAGAGGCCACTCTGTAAGCTGTTGCAAAAATAGCAGGTGCCGAAGACTTAACGGAAGAAGCACACGGAGGAGCAGTCCATCCGTTACTTCATTTTTAATAGGATTGTTGCATCATTTCATCAACAGAGGGCCAGCTCACAGGAACTTGCAGCTCCCTGCTCCCAATCACCTCACAACGTGCTCTGTCAGCATCTACCTGGGAGCATTACAAGAACCCCCTTGACAGTGCACCTTCACCATCACACCTCATAAACACAATGCCCAGAAAAGATAATGATCCCCCCTTATTTCCAATTTCCTAGAATTACTTACATTAGATGCCATGAGTCTTTCACGAAAGACATGCATACACCATAGAGAGAAGACTGCTAACAGCACAAATAAAATCAGATTGTAATTCAAATTTATTTCTTCTCCTTTCCATTTTAAGAAACCATGGAAAAGGATTTCCTAGATGATTCTAGGCAAACTGTATATTTTAAACAGGTATTAGAAAATTACAACCCTTTAATATTCGCTTCCAGAAAAAAATAACGGTATAACTCAAAAGGATAATTGATTAGCAATCAGATATTACCTTCATGTTTTCTTGGAGTCAGGTGTCCACTAAAGCTAAACTGTAATAGTCTGTGAGGCTGGGTGTGAACCAAGCATGAAATTCATTCCAGTCACTAAAAATAACTTGGTAAACTATACGATAGATTTAAGGCACATTTCTTATCAGCTCTTAAAGGTCATCTTAATACACTCCTTGGATTGAGTTCAAGTACTTAGGCTACTGAGGGGAGAGAGAACTCAAAGGAGAAAGGCTGAATCACTTCCATCACCACAGCAGTGGGACCTGCTCTATCACAAACAGGCACCAACAAGAACCACCAAGTGTATTGATAACTTGAGAATTCAGTTCAGGACACAACTTTCTATCACCTTCAGCCACTGTCCTTTTGCCATTCTCAGTAGATGTAAGTTAGAATAAGTATACTTGGATTTCTTATAATCCTATGAAGCCAGAAAGCTCCATAGGTACCTGGAGGGCACCTACAGTAAGAGATTATGGACTAAGACAAGAAAAGTTGTGATCTGGTAGGCGGTCTGGTGGAGTGCTAAGATGGTGGGTCCTTTTTAAGCCACAGGATACACTTACCTCTCAATCAAAACGTGGTCAAGTTTAAAAGGACAGAAGCATTTAGGGAGAAACAGCCACTATGTAGGCTTGAGAATTACATGGTCATCACAAGTTAAGCACAATGTAAACTGGAGACATGAGCCAACTGATGACATGGAAGGGCAGGGCAGTTCACCACAACTCCCTTCCTGCAAGCTCTGGTCACCATTCAGGCCCACCACCATTTCCCCAAGGAACCTGCTCCCAGCAGCCAGTCACAGCCACAAAGGCCATTTGTCATCATATCTTCTCAGCATAGCCTGGCCACACCAAAGTCCATGATGTTCTTGCAAGCACTTTTTCCCTGGCTCTAAGCTGTGTGGAATGAAAGGGGAGGTCGCAGAAATGCTTACTGAGCACCCCCCTGGTCTTGAGCACTTTCCCATAATAGTCACTGTACCCACCTATTCACATTTTTACAGACAAGAGGCCTGAGGGTGAGAGAAATTAAGAAGTTTACTTACGGCCCCTGAGCTGGGAAGTTACAGAGCCAGGACTGAGACAAAGCCACCACTCTCCTGTGACACGCTACATGTCATTGACAACAACAACTGCCCTAGCCCGGGTGGCTCACTTGGTTGTCCCATGCACCCACCAAAAGATGCGGGTTTGAGTCCCAGCCGGGGCACTTAGGGAAGGCAACCAGTCAATGTTCTCTCTAAAATCAATAAGCATATCCTCGGGTGAGGATTAAAAAAAATTTTTTTTAAGTAACAAGTGGTTAAAAAATAATAATAAATAATTAAATAAATTATTGAGTTTCTAGTATGTGCCAGAAGTTATGCTAAATGTTTGACATGCAACATATCACTTAATCCTTCAAAAACTATAAGGTAGGTACGATCATTAATCCCTTTTTGCAGATGACAAAACTAGACTTAAAGAGGCTAAGAAATTCACTCGAGTTTGCAACTTAAGTCTATCTTTAGTTACTGCCCCATATATGTATCTTCTAACTTAGAATGTGGTGATTTAAGAGGAATGTGACAAACGAGTACATTTAACTGCATGAGGACGTCATAAGTAGCACCCACTAGATCTGGCTTATGAATTAGAACCACCTAAGAAACTAAAACAAGCAAACGAAACAAAACAAGTGTTCAGGCCTCACCTCAGGCCACAGAACTAGAACCTCTAGCAGTACCTGCTGCTTTTTGCCAATCTCCCCAGGCAATTCTAACCCAGGTTTGAGAAAAACTGTCAAAATCAGTGGGTGAAATGGGCCATTTGACCCTCTCATCATCCACTACAGCCAGGAGGCTTGGAGCATCCTCAAACGTCGCCTCAA